TGGATTTGTTCTAATAGTGTTATTGGTCTATAGGCTTATAGTTTTATTGGTCTATGCGCTTACCTTTGTAACGAACCACCCTGACCCTCGTTTGTTTTAATTGGTTCCCTTGGTTGTCTTGTTTCAATTTTGGTTTTGCAGGAGAAGTCGCGGCTCGCGGTTGTCGTTCCATCGTCGGTTTTTTTCCAATCCATCGTCCCCTTCTCCTCCCACACGTTAAGTCTAACACTTTTTTTTCTACTACCCTTTCCTTCTATATTCTTCTACCCGATCGTTCGTTCAATAAACGTTATTCAATTCTCGACATTCTCATATTCCCTCATGGACTCTTTCGGAGATAATCATAATTCTCCTTTTGATGAGATGGATAATCTTTTAGGGAGCATCTTCTGCGAAAGATCCAAACCCGTGCAAGCTCCCCCTGATTCCGATTCCGGCTTCCAGCAATCCGTTTGGCTTTCCCCGCTCGGAAGTTACACCTTGCTGAATAATAGGAGTTCCTTTTCGTCTTTTGTTCTGTTCGCATGTTTTTCACTTATATTTTTAATTCAGTAAAAGAATAACAAGTGGTTTTACTTGATTTCCTACTGTGTACTCATCACGCATTAAACACATATTTCCTACTCTGTAATCAAGCATCAATCTTACACAAGCGAATTGCGTAACACATATCGGCTGGGGGACTTTGCCACTGACGGCCCTATGATTTAGTCCTACCCTTTGTTTTCGTCTTTTCCACTGATCCCACTGGAGCTTCCTTATTTTAAATCATCCCTTCAGTTTGTGGTTCCTCTGCAAAGGGACTTCTTTGCTCTAATTTCGTAAAGCCAGTCTTCAGTTCAGTATAAGCGCTGCCTCGTTTCCATTTTTCCTTATGATTTTCCAGGACTTTGCGAGTGATATCAAAACAAAAACTGAATCTGCTTTGTGTATCGGAATTTTTTGTACGAAGACAACGTCTCCAACTTTCAGGACAGTGTTGGCAAAAACAGGAAGGAGATAAGGGCGACTTGCCACCCTGTCATTTTGAATGCTTATTTTGGACTATAGAAGATCCCTCCTTACACCTCCTTACACGCCTCCTTGGACTAAATGTCTGCTTCCAGCCTCATTTATTGGTCCACTTATATTGTAGCGGTCTAGGATGTGTGATCTACTATAACCACTACACTATGAATATTCCGTCTGGTAGGA